GGAAAGGAAAAATGGGAGAAAGTGTTTCCAGCACTACTGTAACTATGTTAGCCTTGCAGGCTGGTCAGTAAGTATTCCACATCCAACCACTGCCTTGACAACAAAAGGAACTCCATACCCAGCTAGTATGATAAAGGGTTAAAAATATTGAGAAGAAAATTCACATTTACCTCAGGTGTAATTTATTCTATAGAATATACATATTACTGAGACCCTGATGCAAAAAAAAAATTCTATTTGGAAGTGAAACTGCTTAACAGCCTTCACCAAGCTGCAGTTTGTATTTAAGCCTGTACAGGTCAATTCCAGCTGGAGCACCAGCAAATAAACTGAGAATTCTGCAGTTTAAAATGTGACAGTTTGTGCAATAGTATCCCACCACAGAGATAGGAGATACCGTCTGAATTACCTGCAGTACTTATTACGTTTTATTTATTGGGATAGGGGGGCACACATGTGCACACTTTTAGTATGCTTGGAAGCCAAAGTTGCCTCTGAAAATTGGTTATTTTACAAGTGTTTTCACTCTTCTATTTATTTTTTTAAGTATCTGTCTTGGGACTAAAACCAGGAAGTTATACCAGTCTTAAACACCAATGGTTATATTGACCACTCTTTCCTCTACAAGACACAAGTGAGAATCGCAGATGATTCCCATCAGTCAGCTTGTTAAACACACGTGGAAACCAAGCAGGGTAGGCCAAAAAACGAAACCCAGCAAAACTGCACTGTCAGTAATGCCTGTCCACGAGCGAAAGCAAATGAAAGGACCTCTACCTCAGCAGTCCTTTTAATGGCCCAGGTGAGGTGTTGTGTAGGGACTGAGCACTGGAGGGGTATTTAAGGCAAAAGGCCTGGCTGACTACAAGTCTCCACTACCTAGAACATCAATACATGGATCTCACCACTTCTGCAAAAGTAGTATCATGAAGTTTGGCAATAACAATAGAGTACTTTAACTCTTCACAATTTGGGTGAGGCAAGAAAACCTGCATGAAGCAAATATTCCATATACATTTGCATGATAGATGCAACAGTCCTCCACCTACAGTTTGTCTTAAAGCTGTACCTACAGGCACAACGAGTGATGGGGAATCTACTGCAGGAGGCACCACCCGTGGCCTGAGGACCAGCAGCTGCTTCAAAGGTCAGGCGGGGTGAAGGAGCAAGATAGAGGAGGCCTGGATGGGAAACCAAGGAATAGGTAAAGAAGTTTGAATTTGTTTGTGTTCCCAATAAAAGCTCGTGTCAAGACAGGGAATAACCCACATCTCCCGATCTCTGGAGCGGGGCTGTACTTGGTCATTCACCACTGGTCCTTAAGCACAGCAGAGAGGCAGCCTCTGCTCCAAAGGGTACTTAGCCAGGAATTCTCTGTGTTTGAAAGAGAAAAGTTTCCTGTTTCTTATCAGAATCACCCTCTTTCAAACCAGACAAAACCCGGATGACTTCCTGAACACTGAGCTGCAGGCAACTTGTACAGGGAGTCATTTAGGTATGATTTTAGAAGATGCAATGAGTGAGAATTGTACAGAGGACTGGGAAAAAAAGTGCCACATTTTGAGCCTATCCAAGATGTGACAGTTTATATATAAACACAAATTCAAGAGTGATGCACTGATCAGCCGTCCTGCTCCACAAAGCTTTTGTACAACTAAGTACACAGAGCTGCACTGATCTGAGAACATGGCACAACTGAAGGATACTGCATTGGTTATAAATTCGGTTTCCCTTGCATATGTGAGTCTGCCTTTCTGCTCCAATTTTACTTTCATTTTACACTTGCAGAACATTTTGAAAGACCATTATAAATTTATGCAAGATGACACATCCCATTATAATTATCCCACTAAACTTTAATTGACTGCATCTTGTCACAGGATGTAGAACCTAAAGTAGACCTGCTAGTGTTAACAGTTAGAGACAGCAAGGTAATCACTTGTGTACACATGCACCAAAGTATTTACACTTAATTTTGGTGCATTTAAGGAAATAACGCATGGGTCTTGGCATACTGACTGTACTTTTATGTATAATGTTTCATTCACAGGGCAACTACCATGTTTTTTTCTATAAGTCTCTATATGTACAGAATTTTACAGCACCTCATGCACTGTCCAAAACAGATAGAAATTACAGATAAATATATAATTTTTAGATTGAAATATCTGTATATTTAGAAAAATATACATTAGTAAACACAATAAACCAGGTAGAGAAGTGTACATGCAGGTACATTTCCAGATTAAGTCATGGTAGTTTAGGAATGTGATTGCAGACGTAAGCATTTTTTGTTTTACCATCCACATACATACATAACACAGACAACTATTTGATAATTTACTTTTCTAAACTACTTAAATATTTATCTTGTGATACATACCACATATCTTAAACATTTAGCAGCATCTTCACCTCGCTCAGTCACACCTATTGTTATCATTAACAATGTAAAAAGTTCCCTTGTTATCTGGAAAATTAATGTTTAGTACAGAATGATACATGAAAGCCTAGTTATTTTAACTCCTCCAAAACACTTCAAACAGCTGTTATATCAAATACTTTCACTTGCTGAAAACTGGCTTTTCATAGTGTCTTTCTACCCAATTGCACAATGTACAGGTCTCTGTCTCACATCTGCTCTAGCAGACCCTGACAGGCAGTGACTATCACTGCTGTGTGTGTGACTGAAATGGCACCATCATTCTAAGAACCTCTAAAATGCTCTTTTTAAAAAAGAAAAAAAAAGTAACTGTCATTCTAGTCATCCTACTAGGTAGTGACAAACTAAGCAGAATATCTGATGAAAATCTGATTTTGCTAAAAACCCAAACAAACCAAAACCACCACCACACAACCAACCCAACCCCCCTCTCCCCTGAAGATTATTATAGCTGCCAGACTGAACTCTCAGTTTTCAAGATTTCATGAACAGATGCAAGGAGCATGGTGTTTGGGTTTGGTTTGTTTGTTGTGTTTTGGTTTTTTTTCCTGTACAACCTGCATGTGGACATCCAGTTAGAACATGCAGACACTTTGATATGATCTTTGTGTACAGCCTAAGCAAGCCATCTTCTCTTATTGCTTCAGAACTGTACTTCTCTCTTGGCTCCCCTGGGCTAACTGCTTGATTTAAAAACACTGTGAACCTGTATGGAAAGCTAAAGCTTTAGGCTTTAGCAAATACATGGCTATTTGGAGATAGCTAACTAGGGAGGCTCTTTTGACAGTCTGCTCCCTCGTGTGGAAACAGAAGGAGCAGAGATGTTTTCCTGACTAAATCTTGGTGCCCACGTTTCATGTGTTTCATTTGGTTAAATAAATGTATGGAAAAAAAGATGAAAATATGTGATACTTGCAACATCAAGTACTATGGTGTGAAGACTGAAGAATCTTATTGTTCCATTCATTAGGGAAGAGTGAGCTCAGCCCACTTTTGGCATCACAAAGAGAGTATTTTCTAATTCAGAATGAAAAGGCATCATATCTGTCCAGATAGCACATCTTATTTACAGCATATATAGTCTCCTGTTACACAGTACACAAACAATTTAGTCACGGTCAGCATACAGTGCCAATAGAAAATCATTAAAATAGTCAAGCGATGGCTCTGCTATCATTGCTGCTGCTACATACAACACTCGATCCATTTCTCAAAGCAGCCTCTGAGCAACAGGATCACAGAACATGTCTCCTGGGAAAGGAAAATAAGCATCTCATGCTGATGCCACATTTAAAAGCTCTGCCAAACTTAAACGAAAACAGAGAAAACATCCTGAAAACTATAAAAATAAAACAAAGTAGTGGTACACATTTTCCTTAGACAATTTGAGATTCCCTCTGAAGACTGAAATCTCCATATTAAGAGCCACAAAGACTACCTGTGCTATACAGGGTTTCAACTAACATTTTCCACATACAGGGATGTCAAGCCCCACCTGCCCCTTTCCCCCACAACAACCAACTTTATAGACTTTGTAAAAATCATCTGTTGTATATGGGTGTTTTCAGGTTTTTTTTTGAGACTTACAAGTTTCCTATACTGCATCAACTCCATTTTTCTTTTCCTTGTGCACCTAAAAGTCTTTGAGAGCCCCAGGAAACAATACTGTTTTATAGCATCTACGCCTCTTTTCCTTCAGAAATAGTTCTGAGGAATTTGCCTTTTGATAGCATTCCGTGTCACACTTTGGTGTTGAGAAAGACTTCAGAACCCAGGTGCCTGTCACCAGATGGAAGAGAAATTAAACAAATAAATGACTTCAGTTTAGCCACCTAACCTGGTAAGTGACGGTGAATGTTACTATATACAACAGCTGACATTGCAATACAAAATATGGTCACAAAAAGAGCTAGTCTTAGCGATAAGCTATATTTTCATTTTGTTCTTGTTAAGCAGAAATTTACATCAGCATAAGTTTTGTTCGATGAACTTGAACTAAATACGAATTATATCAATGAGCCTGCTAAGGGGAGAACTGTCACTAAACAAAAGGAAATCCGTTGTAAAACAAAAAGTTATAAACAACAATGCTTTTTAGCAGTAAGCTTCCAATTCACAAACTATCTAATGAAAAATGCAATTAAAAACCATGTAACAAAAAGCACAGAAATTCCATTACATCACACTCATAAAAATACAGCAGTTGATCACACACAAATATTCAGAAAGATAATATAGAACCCAGCTAGTTATCACAGGAAATTAAGCCACAGATCACTACACAAATACCAAACAAAATAAAATGCCTTTTTTTTTGTTTTGAAGCAATGTGGTTTCACAAGTGTGAATAAATAGTCCTAAACATTAAGCATCACTCTACGAGGCTCCACATTATCAGGTTCTCTCTCAGGCTACTTCACCATTATTCAAATGCACTGAATTACCTTGCGTACAAGCTTTCTAACAGTACTTCAACCGCAACAGGCTAACAGGTTGGCTCCCAAGAACAGCCTAATAAGCAGCAAGGTATTGCTTTATATTACTTTAAGAGACACATATAAGGGAACCTACGCAATAGTTGTCCATCTCAAGAGACTTCAAGAATTTGTGAAACATCAAGAATGCATGAACATTAAGCTGAGAGAAGCTGGAGCAATAGAGCTGTGTTGGTTGCTGCTTTTAATTTTTAAAATTCTGCTCCCATGAAATTATTATTTTTTTAAGTAAGAAAAAAAACCCAAAGAAATTAGTGTTCTTTACTAATAAGAGCTATAGACTTTTGACCAGTTAAACACTGACATTAACAAGTTTTACAAAAATTGTTTCAAGTATCCTTTTTTAATCACAGTGAAAATGTAAGACCCGAGATGTAAATGTTGAAGTGAATGACTGAAAGTTTCTTAGATGAAAAAAGGCAAAGGTACTAAATTAAAACATATAAAATGCTTAAACGCATTTCCTTCATGTGATATGAATAGAAAGGTTATCTGTAAAAAGTTAGAAAAATTAAAATAAATTACATATTTAAGTACACTCTCCCTTCAACATTTTTATAAAAATTCAGAATAGTGTACTTTTGAATATACACAGAGTAAAAATGCACAGGTGCCCTAGGTTATCATCAGTATCTACACAGCGTCACATTAGCGTATTTGCTGCAGGTGATTTTATTTGTTACTTAAGCTCCTCTTGAGAAATCTCAGTATACCCAGCTAATTGGGACCCACTGCGGTTCCAGCCTCAGTCTCTCAATAGCAGTCTGTAGCTTCTCGAAGGCTTTGTCTAGGTTGTCATTTACAATGGTCAGATCAAAATAGTGGTTGTACGCTCTATGGATCCGTGCACTTTCATCCACTGTTTTTTTCAAATCAGTGTCCTGTTAAAGAGATTTTAAAGATTACTGCTAAGAACATAAGACTTGGCAAATCCTTATAAATACAGAAGAAGTATCCCTTCATTACATACTGCAACTATTTAAAGCTATATATTGAATATATTTTAAAAATAATGAAACTTTTCATTTATAGTAAATCCACACAGAACTTAAGCTAAAACACATTGAAAGGGCTGAAAAAGTTATGAGCCATGCCAATAATGTTAAATGTGGCAACCAAATGTTTGCAAATCTTGCAGTTTTTAAGAAAGTCAGTAGAAGAATGTAACTTGGGCTGGTATGCACAATGGGCAGTTAATAATTTTCTATGTGCAACTGATGATCCAATCAGAATCAAATTAATGACTGGAATTTAGGAATGACTGAGTTCATCAGTTATGTAAAAATATTTATGCCCTTTTTTATAACCACAGAAAGCACCAAAAAAATCCAATAATTTAAATTAGTATGAAATGAAAGACAATGAAAGATACTTTTCTATCAGAATAAAGCTCTAGAATACCCTATTGCTTTTAGAGGCTACATTCCAACCTTGCTCACCTGACATCAGTTCCTCATTTGTAAACTACTGCTGCATTACTTTAGTTCTGACATGAGCTGCAAAATATGCAGGAAATTTATATTCCTCCATTATGAAGCCTTCATGAAGTGCCGCCACTGAGCATTTTTTTTAGTGTTTCATTAGTCCTACAATCTTTTGCACAAAAGCAATTTTTTTGTAAGCAGTTATGAGATTTGTCCCCTTGACAATATTTATTTCAATGTTTTCATGTCTTGGTACAGTTGTAAATACAAAAGCAAAAATGAAAAATTAAGTTTGTGAATAGCCTTTCCTTCACACTAAATGAAGGAGACAAGCAAATGTGTCACCACACCACAAGAGCCAGAATTTTTGCAACGGAATGGCTTAGGATGCTAGAAATAATGTAGACAGACCCACTAGCAAGCAGAACATACTACTTTAAATTACATTTGTTTTTCATTTGTTCAGGAAGTACAAGAATATGAAATGGGAAATCATACTCTTTATATACATATGTACAGATATGATTTAGAATCCATAAATATGTATTTTAAATGTAACTATCCTCTTTATTATTCATAAGGACAAATGAAACAAACATAAGCATGTCCCTTAGGGAATGAAATATTAGGAAGTGCAGGAAATTATTTTTATGCTTGTCTGGACAGCTTTAACCTTGCCTTCTTGTATATGCATCACAAAATTCAGGGTTCATTTGGGGCAGGGAGGAGGAAAGGTGGAGCACCCACACAGATACTAGAATCTACAATAACCAGAATCCATGACTAGACCTGGACAGTCTCTCATATAGTTAAGAGAATGCAATCTCACAGGTCTGAAAAGAAAAGACTAAAATTCCCATATTCATTCAGTGAAAATTAACCCACTCCCCATTTTATTGCTTTGAATGTCCCATCAGCATTATACAAGATATTGCTACTATCTAAACTGCAGCATTGTTGTGAGTTGTCAGCAAACCATGGCTTTTCTTAGATGGGGAAGCTGTACTGATGAACATAGAGGACAGTTTCCTTAACTACTCAATCTGGCTTTTTTTGCTTTGGTCCTGCAGCGGGGAAAGTTCATGCCCACACAGAATATTTACCATTTTCTGTGCTGGAGGAAGCACATCTTGTTTCCCTCTGCTACACACCATGTTTCAGAAAAGGAGAGAAGATGTAAGGAATAAGATGTGCCACTTTGCTTTACATGACAAACACAAGGAACTTCAGGGGAAGAGAAGCTATTCAACACTTCTTATTCTGACAGCTCCCAGCCATTCTCAGTGCAGCACGCGCTGCAGCAGCAGCAGTGCAAACAAGGCCTAGTTGCTTTCTGCTGTTGGTTGGTTAGGTTTTTTATGCAGGCTGCAATATCCTTCCTAAGGATTACAGACTCCATTTTTAAAGCACACTTGTATTATAAGACAAACCTGAACAAAACTTTGTAGGACGAGGTGTGAAAAGTGAAAGAAAGACATTTACATAAAAGAACAATTCCCACCATCAAGTATCTGCCATTTGCTGCAAATAATCAAAGGTGACACTTCCCAAAGAAGACATTACAAGTAATTTTTGTAATCAACGCTCCTCTGTAAGAGGTCTATTTTTAAGAAAGAAGCATCTGCCTTATACATAGTATTTGATTAAATTCACCTAAGTAATCAACAAAAGTCTTGCCTAACTTTTATTAGAGACATTAATTTCAGAACAAATTCCATCTAAAATGAAAGGTAAAAAAAATAAAATCTAACAACATCTTGCTCAAAGAAAACTAAATATGAAATAATCATCTTACAGTGAGAAGTTTGGTTGTAATTCCAGCATCTACCACAGCCTTGTGCATAGCACGCAAAGTCTCCAACTCCGGAGCAGCAATAAATACTACATAGGGCATGAATTCTGAAGTCCTCAGTATTTTCAGGGCCTAGAAGCACAGAAAAAGACAAAAAAACCCTAAGTTTGAGAATGACTCACCACACGTCCCCATTACTTAAGGGGCACTGCAGAACTAGTCTGCTACATTGGGCAGAAACACATAAGCAAAGATTCTTACTTCTATTTTAGAAAATCCTACACTGCCTTTTGAAATGCTCAACATCATTCTTTCCTTGGCTAAAAAAAATTATTTAGTACTCTGCAAGACTCCTCTTCCATGCAGAATCTCAGGGTTTTTTTTTTTCCCGTCTTTCTAACTCATTCTAACTTAGTGCCACACATCAAGAATCCTGGTGATACTGTAATCTTTAAGCCAGATAAGAAGCCTTTAAATTTAAAGGCATACCTCTTCAACATCATACTCCTACACGTGCAGTGTAACATTATAAATTATATACCTGTGGATTCACATCCAAGATGCAGGTCCTTCCTGTCTGAACAACTTCAAGGATGGAATCAATTTTGGTGCCATAAAGATTTCCTTCATATTCTCCATGCTCTAAATATCTGCCAGCTTTAATATCCATCTCCATTTCAGCTCGTGACACAAATCTGTATGCTTGCCCATCCTTTTCATCATCCCTTGGCTTTCGTGAAGTAACTAAACAAAAAATTAAAATATAAATCCAATGTTTTCATATTTTAATACAAATATGAGACTGGACTGCCTATTAAGCTAGGGAGAGTATAATACACATTTATATACAATTATAATTCTTCCATATACAGAGTAATTAATTATTCTAGTACAAGTTTCAAAACTGAGCACAGCCCCTCCTTTTCCCTTTATTTCTATTCTTTCCTATATGTTGCTTACCTACCCATTTGCTTATTTCCTTCATATTGTTCCTTCACGCCATATACAATACTCATTCATGTCATCTTTTTAATTATTCACTTAATAAAATATTTATTTAAGTGGCTTGGAAATCAAATGGAAGTTTAACTCTCAAATGGCAAATGTACTTCTGAAAATAACTTGGCACACATTAAAATCTGCCATGCCCTGCTCCCCAAACCTTAGCACATACTTTGCTCACTGTATTTGCCCTGTTATTCAGGGTAGGATTACCTGAGCTAGCTATAAAGAAGGTTAGCTTAAATATCAGAAGAAGCCCAGCCACCACAGCAGAATCTTAGTGGAGGCCAGCTAATGCTGCTTTCCAGGACAACTTACCCTTTAAAGCAAGGTAAACTCACTGCAGAGGATTAAAGCCAATATTTAAGTAAAACATCAGCAGCCATCTTGGGTATTGGCTACACTATGCAGTACAGACATTACTTAAGCAAGAAAGTGAAAATAAAATAGCAGATTATTACCGACTTTGCAGTCCTATCACCGTATTACTTGCCCAGTGCTTGCATTTAATTAGATTTGAACTCTACAATATATTTAACATAACAACAAATGGATCCCTTTGGTAATACTTCTGTCATCACTTGGTGCCATATCACCACTTGGTGCAACACGTGGAGAGCATTCTCCCCCTTCCAGTAATTCCTGTCAACTTCATTATTACAGAAAACTCAAGTCCCAGGAGAAATTATCTTCTGAAGCTTTTAGCAATAAACATATTACTATAGCATCTAGTTTTAGCCAAGATTCTACAGAAAGATTAAAACTATAGTGGTTAATACAATAAAAAAAAATCATAGCAGTTTGAAATAAATTTTGGAGAATGAGCTTTAAGTTTACAACCAGAAGATGACTTAACAGTTCAGCTACCCACACTGAAGAAAAAATACAGCACCATTTGCTGGATTAGAACTCGACACCAAGGACATAGTTCTGCCCAAAGCAAAATGGATCTGTTTCAGCCATTTAAAAAAAAAAAAATAAAAAAAAAAAAAAAAAGGCAAATCAAACTAAAACTAACAAACTCACCCCACACATATTTGTGAATAACCAGGATAATTTCCTTCTATTCAAAGAAACTGAGGCCAACTGAGATTACTGATTACCCTACTTACCTACCCTGATTGCCCACATCTTGAAAAAGCACTTCTCCCCCACCCCTCCCTTCTTCCCAAAGCCCAAAGGCTTTGTTCTGTACCTTCTCCCCTCCCAAAGCGGCACAGGGGGGCAGGGAATGGGGGGTGCAGTCAGTCCGCCGCTCCTTCCTCCTCAGGGGAGGGCTCCTCACAGTCTTTCCCAGCTGCAGCGTGGGGTCACTTCTCACAGGAGAGTCCCTCTCAAAAAACTGCCCTGGCGTGAGTCGTTTTCCAAAGGGGGCTACACTCCTCTGACAACGGCCCAGCTCCGGTGTGGGCT